ATCTCTGAAGTTGAGGATGGACTGCTTGAGGGATTGGAATCAAATAACCTGCAGGATCAAAGTCTGACGCAAACAAAAGAAAAATTACAGTCAAGATTGTAAAAGCAAAACACACCTAAAACAATTAGGATAATTCCTACTAGAGGGATTTTTGAAGATGTGTGATTCCAACCTCTGTATGCATGGCTCCAGATGGCAGCCCCACGTCCTGAAAGGGAGTGCTGATCTTCTGGGGCTGCGACTGAGATGGTCTAACAGGGGTCAGTCCTGCCTCGTTGTCTGAGGTCGTCTGAACCTTCTCCTCCTTCTCCAGGAAGGTCTCCACGCTGTGCTCCAGAGGCGCTGTGCTGGTGGGTAATGAACCAGGCTGGTTCTCACAGGGCTTGGTGAACTCCAGATGCAGGGCTCTCGGGGAAGGCCGGTGCGAGACTAAAGACCCTCTACGGGCCTTTAGACGAGCTTGCAGAATCTCACACAGCTTTGGAGAACCGCTCTTAATAGGAAACAAACACCAGAAGGTTGAAATTGTTACTAAATGTAGCCAATCGAAGTTTTTCACCCCAATGTCATTCCAAAACAGCAAGACATTGGTTCATCTTCGAAACAAAAATGAAGATATTTTAGCAAAATTGACATCCATTGACATCCACGCAACTACCACTTTGACGCTTCACAAAGTTCATAACGAGATCGTAAAACTAATTCTTTTGAATCGAGCTGGTTAGTCCAATATTTCTGAAGAGACACGATCACTTTATATGAACAGATTGAATTTAGGCTTTTATTCACATATAAACATTCATAATCTCACATATCAGTTTTGGTAACTCAAGTATGTTCGCTTGACGTGCGAGAAGTTCTCAGCAACCAATGAGGTTCATTCTCGTGTTACGCAGCACGTTTGAGCTTTAGCAAGAACCAATGAGGTTCATTCTCGTGTTACGCAGCATGTTTGAGCTTTAGCAAGAACCAATGAGGTTCATTCTCGTGTATTAACATTTACAATATATTCTATATCTAAATATTCTTTAGCGAACACATCAAGTAACCTCACCTTTGGCTCTATCCGCTGCAGTTTGGATGGACTTCCCACTAAGCTCTTTTCTCCACATGCTCGTTTAAGGGTTGAGGGACTTGTCGGTTCTGAACCGTGGGATGATTGGTGGTTGGTTTCGTTACTGTTAGTCATGGCAGTCGGTGATGTCTTTGCGTTTGCACTCCCTGGGCTCTCAAATGTCATTGAACGGACCGCTAGGCTGGTGGGCTGTGGTCTTAGAGAGGTGGGGTGCATGTAAACAGCATATGACCCGCCTGCCTGGTGCTGAGGAAACAGAACCGGGATGATCGGGGAACACTTAGTCGAAAGGTATGAGATCGCCCCAGTGGGTAGAACTGGGATCTGCATTCCTGAAGGCCCACAAGGCTGATGATTGCTAGAAGACGAGGATTCAGATGAGTGTGAAGGGCTTCCATTCAGATTGTCCGTCACCTCATTGTTTGGTTGAACATGATGGACCCTGCAAGCCAAATCCTTAGGTGTTATGTCTGAAATTGGTAGTTCACCGTCTTTTTTCCATTCTAAGAAGAAGTTATGTTTACTTACGTCGATTGTTCATCTAGTTGCTTTTTGCAGATAGCAGCCAGATGAGCCATTTTGTTTGTGTAGAACTCACTGTTTGCAGAATCACCTATCAAACCAGAGATAGATCATTAGTTCATTATCATTTTAGCTCATAGTTCACATCAACTAACAATGAACAATATTTTTACAGCATTTATTAATCTTATTTCATGTTAATTTCAGCATTTACATTTTTAAGATCAAATGATCTTAAATGATCTCAAATGATCTTAAGATCATTTTTAACATTTTTAAGATCAAATGTTGTATGTTAACATTAGTTAATGCACTGTGAACTAATATGAAAATGTAGACTAAATATTAGTCAATAAAGGATGCTTACAATATATTATTCATTGATAGATAATGCATTAAATAATATTGAGAAATGAAACCTTAATGTGTGACCACTTTTTATGTTTTTGAAAGTACACTCATCAAGGCTGCGTTTATTTTTTATCAAAAATACGGTAAAGTCATGTCACAATTATTTATATAGCGCTTCATTAAATACAGATTGTTTCAAAGCAGCTTCACAGTGATGAGAGGAAAATTATATATTTCAGCTGTTGTTCAGCTAAAGTCAGTAAGTGTTGAAACAGCAGTATTGTAAAAATAACAACTTAAAGTAATTGAAATAGTGTATTTTAAAACGTAATTTATTCCTGTGATGCAAAGCTGAATCCTTGCTAAAAGTATAAATCTCTCTCTCTCTCGATTCAAAGAGTCAATCTCAAGCTTGAGTCTTTTACTATTAATAATGACTGACCTTAGTTGATACCTGAAAGTAGAAAATTCCCACAGAAAACAGAAGATGATTAGTCGGTTGCTTGCTTACGACGAAACAACAATAATGTCTCACCTGTCATTTTAACAGGACTAGAAGGTGCAGAGTTTATTTTCCTGCGGTCGCTCTGTATGCTCTTAACCAGCTTGACTAAGGAATTGTGGCGGGTAAAACCTCGCTTTGTTCCGGGGGAGGAAAAGAGATTTTTAGCACAGTTATCAACAGAGGAACGAGACTCCAGAGGCTGTGATGCAGTAGAGGTCCCCAGATCTGTAAACATAACCAACAACAATAAATTACATAAGAAGTGAAAACATGCACTTTACATCATAAACACCATAAGTCCGAATAATATTATAAACAAGTCAGACACGTCACACTCACCCTTTGGAGATGGTAAGTCTTCTGGTCCAGTCCACTTGAAAGCAGGCTTTCTTCCTCTATCTTCAGTCACATGCACTTTCTTTATCAGCTCAAGGCTGCTCAGAACATTTGCAATGTCATAAAGTCTGCGGATCTTAGCTACAAACAGAAAAAGGAATAATCAAGAAAAGTAGAAGGGTAAGTTTACATGACAACAATGTACTAATACGGTAAATTTTTCCTTAGCGTTGTCCACGTACAGAAGACACCATTGTCAAAATGATCCTGTATGTCTGCGAAAACGACTAAAACGCTGTTATATTCACGCCAGGCCAGTAGTTGACAATGCCCCTTTTTTTTAAAGAAACATTGCACCTATAGACTGAACATGGAATACGCAGGACATCAACTTTTAGTAGTTTACAGATGATAACAGTATCTTTTTCTAAAAAGTGCACTTTGAACCCCGTTTACAGGCACACAAAAAGCTGTTGTCATGTAAATGAATGACCAAAACGAGTCTTTTTGTTAAAGAGTAACTAAACACTAAACCAACTTTTTTTAGTTAATGATCTGTAAGAATGGATCTTTATTAATACCAGTCATTGATTCGGGTAACTTTTTTGACATTTGTTTATAAAGTGTTCTATTTCTACAATATATGGTGTAAAAATGTCTTAGTGCTGCCCTCTTCAGGTTGAACGCTGGCTAATGCAGTTGAATTTTCCTATTGGATGTTCCGCACTTCGTGACGTACGCAGGTTTCAGCTCACCACGCCCTTGGCAGTATAAAAACCATCTTGTGTCGTCAAAACCACTGTAGGGAGTCAGGAATTGGAATTGTGAGTATTGAAAACGACCAGGATAGTGTTTTAGCATCTAATTCGTCCCCTCTATCTCCGCTGGGGTCAGCCCACTTTTTCAGCATTTTTAAATATTGCCAGTGGGTGGAGTCAGGCTCTGACCAGGGGTTTAGTTACCATTTAAGTTCAAAACGATGTCATGTAAACCACCAAAGCATTTTTAGCCAACTGAAACCGCCTAGCTTTGCATTGAGCATTTTGGCAGTGCCTTTTTCAGTTGAGACGCTTTGCTTGCTATGATATGGAATATCCGAGGAAGTGTTAGTGTGTTACTTGTACCTCATAGTTTGTTTTTGTAGTTTGATCTAAAAATGTCGACACAATGTAAAGTATTTGCTCTTGCTTTTGTTTTAAATTATTTTGTTGCGCTATTATGCTTGTTGTTGTCATCTGCTGATAAGCAGAATGTGGAGGTTAGTCAGTGTTGTATTAGTCCCGCCCCTTCTCCACTGTGATTGGATGGTTGGGTAAAAAGTGACAGTGATGAGCGCTGTGTTTAACCCCAAAGTTGAACATTCTTCAACTCAAGGCGACTGGTAAAAAAATAACAATTGGAAAAATACATTAGCCGAAGGAAAAAACGCTTTGGTCAAGTACATTTGATTATGCACTTTTAAAAAGATTTGTATCAGTTTAACGACCAAATGAAACAGAAAACATCCACTATCACAATGATCAGAGTGTATTTTATATGTATGACGAGAACAGCACTCACTTTTGAACTTGTTTTTGTCCTGATCCACCACGTGATCTTCACCGATGAGGATCTTGGCAGCTATTTCAAGACTAACCACTGGAGGGCTGGACACCAGGAACAGCATGACGAATTTCTGACTCATCACTCTCAGAGATTTGTCTTTTCGACTATTCGCTGAAGCTGCAGGGAAAAGGCAAAGTTAACAGGTTTAATTCACGGAGTATGCATGGCACACAATCTGCGTACTTTGTTACTTTCGTACTAAAGCGTTTTCTAAATTTCCGAAGGGTGGCATTATAACCATGTTGAGATGAAATATTAGACATATATATTTCATCTTAAATGTGCAGTGTGTAAAACTGACAGTTAGCAGTTGAAATGGGTAACGTTAATGCAGTCAAAAGTTTCTCCCGACCCATTCTCCTCAAGACTCAATGCTCTTGTGGGCTGCCAGATTAAGACAACGCAACAGGAACGAACGCAATTGACAACAGAGAGCCTTACACTGTGAGATGATGAGTTGTAATACGCTTCTGGTCATAGAGCTTTTTAGATGGATGATGAGGCTTTTTAGGTGGGGTAGAATCTGCAATCTCTGACCTAGATTGTTTGCAGGCTTCAATATGCTGCGTTTTCTGCCCACTGGAAACTAGTGGTGTTGAAATACTATTGGGTAATTTGGCAGTGGGAGAAATCACAAAGTCAAAAACAAAAAGTATTCTCCAAGTATAATAAATGGCTGAATGAACTGGCTAGAATTGCTTTTCGGAGAACTTAGCATGTTTCCTAAATCTCTGCAAACATATTATGGTAGATTTTCGATTTAGTAAAAAAAATAAATAAATAATACAATCTACACCTTTAAATATATTTCATCATTTACAGTAAGAAAAATGCATTACAGCAGCTGCGATGTTTGACCCGGAGTGACTTATAGTCAAGTTAAGTTTTACTTATTTTCAGGAAATACGTTACTCCAAATTAACATTAGAACAAAATTATGAACAAATTTAGGTGCGTACGTATGTGTTGTGAATTAGGTGGACGTTTTTCATGAGGAGAACACACAGTTCTCCTGCGTGTACAAATACAAAATAATGAATGAGACCCAATGTCAGGCTGTGACATAGTTACCTGCTTTAGGATCTGTTCCTGAAAGCTCTGCATGACCAGAGTCTCCATCCATTTCAAAACCGGACATTTCTTCATTCTCCTTCTCCTCTCCCTCCAAGTCGAACTCTCTCTCTTCTCGCTCTAGGTTCCTTTGACGGATCTGGAGCATCAGTTGCTCATAGCGGTTCTCTTTGCCAGCCCGCTTCAGCACGGCAAGTGTCTGCGCAAGTTTCGCCCGGCCGTGCCACGTGTAGCAGTTCTTGGCCAGCCGGCTGACCATGTTTAGGCTCTCGAGAACGTTCATGATGTCGTAAATACGACGCCGTTCCACATCTGAGAGGGTAGTGAAAATGAAAGCCGTTAGGATTGATGAAACATACACGATGAAGTAGTTTTGTTTGATCAGTGAGTGACTTACTCAGTTCGGTTGCCACATCGTCGAGGCTGATTTTGTTGTTTACAGCAGGATTGGGGTAGTTTGGGTACCTTGCAAGAAATTTGTGACACAGCAAACCAAGGCTTTTGTCTTTACGACTTATCTGGAGCTTTTCTACTTCTTCAGTCTCCTGTGTGGCACAACAGTGGAAAACACACATCATTATCATAATTAAGCATTTTAGCAATAGAGATGAAGAACTGCAACAAATAGTGAGACAGAGTTACACACACAGACTTGTGCTGATGATACCTGTGAGTTCTCCGATTCGCCACTGTCCACGGCTTGTTCTTTCTCGCGGTTGCGAATCTCAGGACTGGCCGCACTGATAAGCATCTTCAGGTTGGAGGTGGGTGTCCACGGCTCGCTAGACGGTGCCTCAAGGCCCTTAGTAGGTGTTGTCAGGGGCCCCATGTTATGGCTCTCAAGTGATAAAGCTTCAGATGCTGAAGCCTTATTGTTTTTTAGTGGTGTTTGTGGTTCGACAAAAACATGCCTCTGTTACATAGAAAACACAATAGGTCATCATGATCAGAATCACACTTTTTTATTTTTATGTAGTAGGACAATAATTTGTACTGGCTCTTCAAGTCACTATTTTGTTGACGTTTGTTAAACCAAAATACTTGTAATTAACTGACCTTGTCATTTGTTGATGTTGCCTTCAATGGACTTCTTAAAGTCTTCTGGATTAATTTTTGACCTTCTGATAATGTACTGGACATTTTCCACCTAAACAACGAACACCCGAGGCAACGTTAAACTAATCAACGTTCATTTGCACAGTTTAAATTACAATAAATCAATCCTACCGTTTCTTCACAGCATTATACAGTCTTGGAGACAACATTGTGAAGATCAGTCTCGGGTACAACTCACAAGTTAAAACTAATTTAATAAAATTAACAGATATGAATAAATGTGCATAAATCAAAAAGTATTTTGATTTCAGCTTAGTGTTGATTTTGTGCGCTTAGCAATAACTGGCAAGCGTTCCATCGAATGGCGACGCAAACCTTAAACGAAAACACACCCCCAACTGACAGCGGCCAATGAGAGGGCTCGAGGAGGCGGGACATGAACACGTCCCGCGCGCCTCCACACTTTTTGAAATCTTGGCGCGGAATCTAGCAGATTGCAAAAGACTTTTTCCGGAAGTTACTAACTTTCCTACAACTTTAACGAAATCGTTTTGCCGCCCGATTGTCTTGCGCTTTGAATAATTCAGCAGTGTAGACAAACTATTAATATTCCCGAGTTTTATAAACTACCCGACTGACGTTACTAGCATAGCTAGCTAACAACTAATTGACCTATCTGCTGTATATTGCATTTAAATTAGAATATGGTATATAATAAGCGCTTGGGAATGAATTATGTACATATATACGTTCGTATTTACATCAAGATTGTAGTCATGTTGACTCGTAACACTACAAAACTAGAGGTTTCGGTCAGTTAGCGCGGGTTAAAAATCCAGAGAGCCGCCAGTGTGATGATGTGTGTCCTCCTAAGGGTAAATGTATGATAATGAAATGAAATTAACGTAACGCATTATAGAACAAAACATTGTTTTCGATTCATTTTTAGTAACTAAAACGGATGTTTGTAAGCCTAAGCCAATCCTGAAACTAATCCGCAAGCTTACAGCCAACTAACGTTAACGTTACCTCATTTTACACTACTCTCCATAGAATAAAACTACAAAAACATGACAAAATATAAAAAAGCTACTCACCCAAAAAGAGAAATGTACCTCTCTCACATACTACGCGGCATAGGTCGTGCCTAAAAATGGTAAAAATCCGTAGGAATGGTACAGGTAACTTTACTGTAAGTATCACACGTTTACAGTTCCAGTTCTCCAAGAATTTCGGATCCAACACTTCTGTAAGTTAACCCAAGTCACATTAAAGTAACCGTGAATAAATAAAAAGAGGGAACACACTGCATTTGATGCATAGCTGAGGAAAAGTTGTATGTGTCCGTTTCCTAGTGAGTAAAAAAGTTTATTTGATCAGTCTGACCATTTGTCCCGCCTAGATACTGGACACACAGCGCGCTACACCCCGCTCCGCCTCCACACTCCTCTAAGCCAATCACAGCTCAGACTTCAGAGTCAGACTTCCGTCTGTTACTACGACAGCAGGTCGTGGGACGGTAAACTCAGTGAACCAGGTTGTTACTTGTTGGGCAAAATAAGTGTCAGAAGTTTGAACATTACCTAAAAACAATAATATGTTTGGAAAAATAAGAGCTGCAAAATGTGTTTTAATTTGTAACCATAATAAAATTTAGATTTAACTTTACTTTATATCTTTTCATTTGTTAATTCAATGTTTTTCATTTATTTGTTTGTTTTATTTATGTTTATTCAATTATTAGCTGTATTTGTAATCTTAAAAAAAAGTCTTTCAGTTGTAAGAAGGGCCTACAATTAAAGGAGTAGTTTAGAAAGTTGTCTTTCTTTCTTCAGTCGAAAAGAAATTAAGGTTTTTGATGAAAACATTCCAGGATTTTTCTCCATTTAATAAACTTCATTGGGAACCAAACGGTTCAAGGTCCAAATGAGAGTTTCAGTGCACCTTCAGAGGGCTTTAAACGACACCAGACGATGAATAAGGGTCTTATCTAGGAGTCGGACCCTTCGAGACGAGTCATGACTCAAAAAAAGATTTGTTCATTTTGATGAACAAGTTTGAACAGGAGAGTCACGAGCGCTCATCACAGAACAGACCAAGGCGAGCATTTGTGCTTATAAAACTTTTTTATTTATTTTTTAAACGACCGATCGTTTAGACCGAAGGGTTTAGATAAGACCCTTTGTAATCATCTGGTGTCGTTTAAAGCCCTTTGAAGCTGCACTGAAACTCTCATTTGGACGTTGAACTGTTCGGTTCCCATTGAAGTCCATTAGGTATGTCCATTGGAGAAAATCCTGGAATGTTTTCATCAACCTTAATTTCTTTTCGACTGAAGAAAGAAAGACATGGACATCTTGGATGACATGGGGGTGAGTAAATTATCAGCAAAAGTTTTTTTTTTAAAGTGAACTACTCCTTTAAGTCAAGGTGGGCCAAAAAGTTAGTTTTAGGCTCTGGTTGTAAGTATAATTATCTGTTATTATCATTGATAATGTCCATTATTTTATGTCCATTACTTTATGGTCCATGTTATTATCATTGATAATAACAATAATATAATTTATTTTCGCAAGAAACAGTATAAAGTCTAACTTTTAAATATTAAACTATTCTAGATATAGCATGCTATTGTTTATGTTGATTATCGCTACCAACAACACCGCCTTTGTTTGCCGCTAGGTGACACTGTGCGCATTTGCTGTTGACGTTTCCATGGAGACGGTCAGCGGTATGAAGCGGCGAGAAAAGACTAGTGTGCGCGGAATGACGTAATGTGATGGATTGAAGCTGCTGTAGCGCGCGCTGGTCCCGCGTGCACTCACTCACACACTCACTGCTGCTCCGCATCCCTCAGCGGACACCCAGCGCTCCTGTTTGGGGTGAGTTGTCTCTTTTATCTTCTGTTCTATTGTCATTAAGTAGATGCTCGGTGTAAAATATGTTTTATCAAACCTCATCTATTAGCTTCGCGTTTTGAATTGTTGTGCAATGTTACATTTTTATATTGAATCACTTAAAAACCAAAGGATCTCGACTACAATGCAAACGCTGTGAAGGAGGGGTTGCTTGATGGAAGTGATATGATTTATTAAATTAAGAGCCTTTATCCCATAGATAATGAAAAAATGTCATAAGTCAGAATAATGTTTTTAACTATTTTAAAAACAATTTTTCAAATAAATATTTGTTTGTGTGTCGCGGTTTACGTATTGTAACCGAAATCCAACTTGGCCAATATGTCAATTCCAGGGTTAGAAAGTTTATCTAGACACGTTTGTTGTTAATTGGATGCCCTAATATGGATTGTGATATAATATAATTATCTTAAATCAATGTCAATGTGTGCAAGCTCGCGTTGTTCAGCATAACAAAATATAATGCACGTGCACATCTAATAATACGACAACGTGCTTGCTTGTACAGTATTTTAACATTTAATCACTACTCTTGAAGTTAAACAAATTTTGCCCTCACTTACTTCTTTTTATCTAAAAATATAAAATTAAGTTTGCTTTGTCTTGTTTTCTTCTGTCACTCATGCACCTGATTATGTAAAGAAGACCAAGTCTGCAGCAAAAGTGCCTGTATCTCTGGATTTGGAGGATTTTCCAAGAACCAACTGTGATGTAAAGCTGCAAGAGTCATGTCATTTGAAAGATTTCAGCTCGTTGGGAAAATGACTTTGTGAATACCGAAATGTGTAATTATGAAGTTGGGGTTGCTGGTCACAGGGGCCCTTCCCCCCTTCCCGATGCCTGTCACAGAGCAGCCGTGCTGGGCTTCATCTGAAGGGATGCACCATGGTGTGATCGCACGTCTGTCCTGCCCCAGACTCAATGAATCGCACGAATGAATGGACACTACTGTGGCAAAGGGAATTAGCTCGGTTGCATAGGGACTTTGGATTCGGGAACACTGGAGCAGGCCGGAGAGCGTTGGATTTTTATTTGAAGAACTGCCGTGGATACTTCAAGGAGTGTTTTAGGAAGATGTCTGAGTCGGGAGCCGAGGCGTCTACATCTCAGCCTCAAAAGCGGAAGCAGGTAGTTCATGGTCTGGATGATCAGAAAAAGGTGAGTGTGTTGATTTGAGATACTCGTATCTTACTGAGGAGAGCAACACTCCCACTCCCTACATTTAAAGCTGCCTGATCTTTTCCTAAATTCCCCTAATATGCTCAGCTTTCAGATACTAGGATTGTGCCTGGATGTGATTCTTCAGTCACTGTTTACAGCATTTCACTCCTTAAGCCTAGTCTTTGACTAAAATGCACGTTTGAGCTGTTTTAACTGAACACAACTTCACTGGCATATCTAAAAATATGTCAGTGCCATTGTTTTGTCTCAAGACGACACCTGGGGGGTATTCCAGAAAGCAGGTTATGCGACATAAGCGGATAACCTCAACTTTCGGTTCCAAAAATGGAGGAAACTTTCAGGCTATGTAATTAACCATAGCACTTACTCTCTGAACATAACCTACTCCAGACCAACTTCTGTTCAGGTTATGTTTCAAGGTAATGTTAATTTTATTATAACATATAGCTATAAAATTCTCATCTCACACATCTTTGATCTAAAATCAGGCGGGTTTTTTTGCAACGGGACGTTTGATATGATATAACGGTATACCTTTTAGAGCCCGACCGATAAAGGATTTTGAAGGCCGATACCGATACAAATATTTGTTGGTTTTAAAATCCGATTTTCCGATATATCGGCCGATATTTTTTATTTTTTAAGAAACGCGCAACAAAACATTAACAGATTTCCCTAACATTAGTTATTTGTAGTTATTAACGAGTTTTAACTAAAATAATATAATGCATTTTAAAAAGAAACTTTTCTTTTATTGTCACAACAGAACAGACTGATGATAGTGGCACTAGCTAGCTTTGTGGTTAGCTAGCTAGTCTATGATGAGCCATAATTTAGCAATGGATTTCGTCATACTGCAAATTGTAAAACATACATTTTCAATATAACAGGCCAAGGAGAGATGATACGTCTCATTGCTATAACTGTCACGCGCTATTAAAGAAATACTTCAGTCACGTTGTCAAAAGTTAAAAGGACAGTCAGTCAACTACACCGTTACAGCGTAACGTAACTATTACTAGCTGATTCCGCTTCACTTTCGGCTTATTTAACAGCAGCAAAACTGGACATCATAGTCACAAATTTTGTCATGCTTATTTGAGTTAAGAGAACTGATGGGGATGTTCTTTTAATTGTTATTCAAGCAATGTATGTCTCGTGTCGTGACCAACTCAACGAGTGTTGCCAACAGGGACGGTGTAGGGACAAACTATACAACTCCAACACTTATGATATGGTTCAAGCGTGTTTTGTCCATTTGTATTTTATTTTTGAAATATTTATTTATCGGCCATTATAAATGTCGATACCGATAGTTTAAAAAATGCCTAATATTGGCCGATAATATCGGTCTGCCGATATATCGGTCTGGCTCTAATACCTTTCAAGCAATGTAGAAGCAAAATGACGAAAAAATGAACTTATACAGCCATGTTATCTTTGCAATCACAGACTGTTGTTTAGTTTAATCAGTCTTTCTTTTTATTTGATAATTAGCATCAAACAAACATTATAGTTTCTATTCACGGTGATTAAAGATTATTAAACGAAAAGATTGAAAAAATGATTGCACAACCTCCATAGGTGGCGATATGCACTAAGTATGTAAATCTGCATTTAACAAAAGAAGAAGAAAGTAGTACGGCACGCGTTTTCTTACCGTCCGTTTCCATGGCGACTCGTCGATTCGTCACTCTGTTGAGAATGTCTAGCGTGTTAACCATTAACATACTCTGGGTTGAATGAACTTTCTCCCAGATGCATTTTTGGAACCAGCATACCTTGAATAAGCAAGGTTTGGTTTACGGTAATCAACGAAAAGTTCAGTTTATGTTTGACGGTAAGATAACGTTGCTTTCTGGAATACACACCAGTAATGTTTTGTTTCTAAGGCACGTTTAAAAAAGCTTAGGCCTTATTAAGCTAAGGCCTAATCCCGGCTTAATCTAAGCCTTGTCTGTGAAACCAGGCAATACAGTTTTATTTGAATGCTAAGGGAGAAACTTGGAACACTTTCACCTTAGCCATGCTGCACATTATCCGGTGATTTATGGTCAGCTGAGGCCGTGCACGTCCCTTGGCATATGGCCCAATAGCATAGCACCAGGTGCAATGGCCACTTAATTGACTTGTGTTGAGATTTGTGTGTCTACTTTATGACTGCTTGTAAATGCATGTGCTGACCACAAAGCTTGTGGAAAATGTTAGACTTTATTGCAGTGAAGTGTGAAACGACGCCAGTTTTGGGTGTTAATGTAAGAGTGTAATTTGCTTTGTTTTGTTTTATTCGACAAGGCTCTCAGTGCAGATTATCAGTCATGAATAAACAGCTAGTAATGCACAATAACTTTAGGGGAGTCATCACAAACCTGAGTGTTTGCATCCGATCCGATCCGGTTTCGCCCCTTAGATCAGGCGCATTGTGCTCTCAAGAGCTGAGATAATTGGCTTAGAGATTCCTCAAGGCCCATGTTTCACTTCCGTCTTTCGGAATCAGATTTTACATGTAAACGGATACTGGTTTGCTTGCCTCTCCAAGTATGACATGTTTTGCTTGGTGTAAATCGTAGCGTGAAGGGAAGAGATGAGGCTTTCTGAGAGCTTTCTGGTTGCCCAGCTGGATCCTTTAGGGGAATTTTGGTTTCTCGCCCAGACTTAAAGGAGAGTCTTGAAGGACTATTAAAGTGTATACTAATTTGACTGCAATGTTTGGTGGTGGATGGCTTTTTTCCACCGTCCTCTTTGGTTTAACTCGATTAGGTATGCAAAATTGATCACCTGGGATTCTAGTAGAACATGAATTAATTAAAGTAGCAAAAAGCACAGCTGCTGTTTTCCAATTTTCCAGCATGATGAACTCTTGTCAGGACGCTTCGCCTTCACTGAGTCGAACACACACCGCTACATCAAGAAGATCATTGGCGTAAAGACCAAAAATCAAATAACTAATTCAATTCAAACTTCAAAGCATATTCAAGTTATTAATCAGAAATTTGTTCAGTACTATGAACATGACACGATATTTTGTATTGCACAATGGTTTCTGTTAATTGAAACCAGTGGTTTTGAATAGGTCTATCCGTCTGCTATATACCATCCATTGTTTGTGCAATAACAGGGGTCTCCTTGGATCTGACGCTAGGTGTTTCCCAATTACCTCATGCTATATAGATTGTCCTGAGAGAGCTGCTCCTGCTTTGGTTAATTGGATTTTCTCTCTACTATTGGCCCTGATTTTTTGATTACGCGTGACTTTATCAAATGACTTTTCCTGGGAGAGTCGCAGGTAATGCACTTCATTCTGGAAATGCTTGTTGAGGTGAAGCTTACATCATTTTTTTTTTCAATTTGAAGCTATGCATTTTAGATTAGGGCCTAGTGATGACAAAGAGCCTGTGAACTCCAGTCCTCCATTCATTGACAGCAGGAGGGGTGAATCAATGAAATACATTAATGAAATAGGTATAATTGAAAAAGCATAGTGTTATTTTGAGTGGCGTCTCTTCATATATTCTCATGAATGTTTCATTGCTTTGTTGAAACGAATGTGTGTTCTTCATTATGTTCTTCAATTCGCACCGCAAAACACAATTGGATTTTAATGGCTACATTTACAATTATCTCTGTACTTCTCTGCCTAATGCAGCCCTGCATTTATTTGTCTAAATTATTGGCTACTTTTGAATGTCCATTATGGAAGAAAATAGTTTTTTGGTCCCAAAAAAAGGTTACTCTTGATTGTAGTGGTGTGCAATTTTGGTCTACGGGTTTTGTCTGTAATTTTAAGGGTTAAATCATGTTTTCGTGATATTTAAATCTGTAATGATTTATCTGTAAGGGATAAAATCTGTAAGGGATAAGTAGACAGTTGTGTTTTGTTGTATTATACAGTTCCTTAGGACAAAAATCAGTTTTGAAAGAACGCACTTTTTTTTATATCATTTCCAAAAATTAAGTAAAAATTCCAATTTAATTGAAAAATCTTTACATATTTAAAGATTTTTAAATGTGTAAAAAACTAGAGTTTAATAAAACGTTTTATATATATCTTAATGGAACAAAGGAAATGGATCATTCATAAAAAAAATGAAAATATATTTAAATTTATGAATATGAATCACATAAACTAAATGATCTATTCCCTTGTTCCATTAAGATTTTTTTTAACTCATTTAAAATTCTTAAATTGTTATATATGAATAATATGTAAGGATTGTTTAATTTAATTTGATGGAATTTTTACTATACAATTGAAATCCATAAATCCAAAAAAAGGCTTGCTTTTGGTAAGTAACAATGTAAAATGAAAATGACTTTACTAATGTCTCTTTAGTATTTTTTGTCTAACTTGTAAATTTACTTTTGTGGTTATGAAAATATTGTTTGAAAACGTTGTTAAAACGTACTTGAATAATTTTAATTAATATTTGATTATAATTTTAGAACCTTAAGATATAACTTCTTATAACTTTAGAATTTTTCAGACTCTCAGGTTAATCTTTTGCTTGTTGTTTTATCAACCAGTGAAACCTACTGACTGCCGATGAACCTTAGCGTAACCTCATCCTTTTACAATGGTTTATTTCACAAACAGTCAGTCCTCAGACAAACATTTTATGCTTTTTGATTCATAACCAGACCCTTTCGAAACTAAGGGTGTATTCACACCTGCCTTGTTTGGTTCAATTGAATCGAACTCAAGTTCGTTTCCCCCCTTGGTTCGGATCTTTTGGGCAGGTGGGAATACAGCAATTGCACTCGGGTTGTTACACCAGAGATCCCTAGCGCACGTGAACCGATCGTCTCTACTAGCTGGAAAAAGAACCCGAACACTGTTGAAAGATGCAGTATGCTACAACTTACCAAAATGTATTCCTCATGCATGATATCGACCAATCATTTTTTTTTAACTCTTCCCTGAACTGAAATGTAGTATTGGGCTGTATTTCCACACGACTGACATCAGGTTCAAGTAC